TTTATTCAGGAAATTTATGAACAACCCGAATCCGTTGTCAACACTATGAGGGGGCGTGTCCGTCCTAATGGGCAGGTGGTCTTAGGAGGACTAAAGGCGAGTTAAGGTTCCATATGCTAGTGTAATTCAATAAGCTTCTCAGGATTACCTCGCTGATATCAGAAGATGCCGTCGTCTAATTATGATCGCATGCGGCACTTCTTATCATTCCGCCATCGCTTGTCGTCAAGTTAGTATCATAGGAAATTGACAAAGATTTTAGTCAAGAAAAGTTTTTAGATCTTAGAAGAGCTCTCGGAGCTACCCGTCGTCTTGGAGTTGGCGTCAGATTTCCTAGATCGCAAAACTCCAATCTTCCGTGATGATGTTTGCATTTTCATTTCCCAGAGCGGTGAAACAGCTGATACTCTGAATGCTTTGAGGTTTGTGCTCCAAAATATACAACACGCTTTTAACGTAGGAGTTTTGAAAACTTAGGTACTGCAAACCTCGAGGAGCGCTCTTAATAGGAATCACAAACGCTGTTGGATCCTCCATTTGTCGTGAAACCCACTGTGGTGTTCATATCAACGCAGGTCCAGAGATTGGAGTTGCTTCTACCAAGGTATCTCTTTCGACTCACTTTAACTGGCTCTACAGAATTTTATATCCCAAAAAATTTCCGTACTCGGACAGAACTGCCATAATAAACATCTGACATACGTCCATTGCTGCTCGAACCAGCGGAGTTCCAGTAACATGCTAACGCTATGCCGCCAGTAATGTGGGCGCAAATGGCGCGGCGCTGGAACGTCGCTGGCACGAGCACAACTATACACGCTGCCTAACTATAGCACTATCCCTTCATTTACCTTGGCGATTAATTATCAGCATTCCATACCTGTTAAAAGCAGTTTCTTGCAGGCATATACTTCACAAATCTTATCTCTCCTAATGTTTGCTTTGGTCTTGTCGGACGATCGAATTTCGATGATGAACAGAAGGAGGGAGATTATTCAGGATCTCAATAGGCTGCCTGGCAAGTTGTCTAACAAAAATTACTATATAGCACTTAATTTTGAAAAATTGTCGCAACTGGACTATTTTGATCTGGGTCATCGATCCAATCATGACATTCATTACAGAGCTCATTCGTATGTTGCTGCAGTAAACGTGAAACCTATTATAGAACTGATTCGCGAAGTCCTGCAATTAGACGAACAAGTTTTGGCTATTGCTGAAGAGATATATAAAGAGAAATCACTGCTCATTATGGGAAGAGGCTTTAACTTTGCCACTTGTCTGGAAGGTGCACTGAA